GTGCTACGAAACTCCGAGGTGGTCAGCACAGCAAGGACACTGTCTCTATGGTCAAACAAATGGAAGCGAACCACGGAAAACACCAGTCGAAGCAACGAAACCGGTTACTGCCACAGATGCACACTCTCTAAGCTGATCACAAGCTTATATCTTCTGAAGTTATTTTCGCACCTGTTCATCTTTCCATGAGGTCCATTTCTTCTGGGGCCGAACAAAAGCACACACATGCGCACACACACACATGAACGTATTCGTCGGTCATCTGACAAATTGTTCCAAGTCATGCCAAATTTGTGTTTTTCTTTTTTCTAATCAGTTGCNNNAGTTGCACATATTTTCTACAGTTTCGCGCTCAATAGGTTAAATAGATCGCTTTTCTTATGACCGACTTTATTCTATCTGACGGTTTTGAATTGCACGGGAACCTTTCTTTTACTGTGAACAAAGCAGCGCTCTTTTTGTTTTTCACGCTTCTTGTAGAGACAGTCAAACTCACCGAATCAAATAATCAAAGTGGGTCGGTCCAATTGGCTTCCTGTCTTGTGACTAATATAATGCTTACATAATAACAAGGCAACATAATGTAAAAAGTTAATTGGATAACTCATGCCGCCGATTAAGAATGAGCTGTTCACGATCTAGTAGCTCAGGAATCGACACGGTAAAAAATATTACAAATATCATATAGGGATCTCTATCATTTTTGATGTTCACAGATATCAAGTTGATTGTTGTGAAAGACTACTGAATGAGTCCTCCTCGGTTTCCAGTGTCCACTCACAGGATCTAAGTCAGGACATTTCACAGCAATTCCGGCTAGAACCAGTCTAATAATCCAGGTTCTTCCACGCACTAAACACGAGTATTGTGCAATGTTCTGATCGTTATATTTCGGTGCTGGTGATGAGAAGGTACTGCCGCGGAGCAGGGACGCCATTACGGTTTATTGTTGATAAATGCAATAATGTCCATGGATCAACCTCGAGTTAAACTAGAAAGTCTTGGTGCTCTCTCTCTGACAGATGCGGTGATGAAGCAACGAACATATGAAACGCAGTATGCATAAAAGGATAAGCCATGTGAAATCAGTAATGGCCAACATGTGATCACATTTTCAATGAGTTATCGTCCACACATCGATAGAAATGTTTGTACATGAGAAACCACAAAACGA